TACTGCTATCTTCTAAAGACTAAAACCAAATATTGCAGTTGTAATTTGGCCTTTGTATTCCTAGTTATGTTTGGTTTTTACGAATCTTCATGGCATCTTTTTGAATCTCCAGAAATGTTTTTATATCAGTGTGCCAGAAATAGAAAAATATAGAGCCTGGAAACTTATTTAGAGTTTTCAGTTCTTTCCCCTTTTATATTTGTTGCAAATAAAGCTGAAGGGTTATTTATTTATTTATTTAGTGGAAGGTCTCTTGCATTGTGAAAGCAGGTCTGGCCACAATCAAGTAACGCTCACAAATCCCTGGCTCCTCTCTGTAGAAAAGAAAATGGAAAAAAACAAAGCAAAACAAACCGATTTTAATTAGAGCAAGACACACAAACCCCAAGAATAGAAGGGATTTTTTTTTTCTTACTAGGAGGTATTTTCCTGGCAACATGACACAGTAAAAGGAAAGCATTCTTTCCTTTTAAAAAATGTTCTTCTTTAGGGAAAAACAGGAAGAATTCAAGTCAAATGTTAAGAAAGACCTTATTCAATTTATTTTAAAAATAGTAATAGTGGATAGAGTTCTGGATTTGGAATCAAGAAGATTTGAGTATAAATCCTCTTAACCTCTAAACCTCTGTTTCCTCATCTATAAAATAGGGGAAATAATAGCACATACCTCACAGGGTTGGCAGTGAGATGGTATCGTTGATTGTGGGCTGGACTTGGAATCAGAAAGATCTGAGTGCAAATCCTACCTCAACCATTTACTGTGTAACTCTAGACAGGTCACTTAACCTTTCTGAGCCTATTTCTTCACCCATAAAATGGGGATAACAGCTCCTGCCCCATAGGAATATTGTGAGTATATAATGAGATAAGATACGTCAAATGTTTTATAAACCTTAAAGCATTATATAAAATGTTAGCTATCAATATCATTACAAGAATAACCTAAATTAAGTGCTTTTCCAAACATCAAAATGTTATATAAACACTAGCTACTACTATCACCACCAGCACCATTACTAACACAACTATTACTAACATCACGCCAGGGCTAAAATGTAGTGCTACTGGCATTCATGTTCTTCCCTCAACAATTAATCTGTACACAAGCTGAATACGTATATTTAAATGCTCATATTTATTTAGTTGGTACTCAAAATAACACAAGAGATTGCTTTTCCACAAAAGTTATATTTATTTTTAAATACACAACAAAGATAGTTTTAGAAAACATTGTTTTTTAATTCCATGTGAGTGGGGAACTCAAGGGACCTTAAAAAAAAGACAACAAAGTTCTTCTATAACATCCCAGCAATTTTCAAATAAAAGATACAGATTTATTACTGTATTTAAATATGTCTCTGGCACAATCTCAGCACCTTGAAACACAAATACAAGTACTAAGAGCCCCCTGCAGTTCAGTTCATTTTTGAAGCGTATCCTATTCTCTAAAACCAGTTGAAGAGTAGGTTTCATTCAAATGTATATATTGTTGACAATTGTTTAATTTTCCTGTTATCCATTCTTAATAATCCAGTCATTACAAATATGTTGACTTCCGTTCAGTGGAATTATGTGGTTACTGCTCCCTGTGACATAATGATGACTTTCTTTTCAGGGTTTATTCCTGAATGAGTGTACCACATGATCAGTTGTGAGATCAAATCTAAAAACAAACCAACCAAGACACTTTTCTTTCCTGGCACTAACAGAAGAATAGAACTGAATCAGTCAATTTCACCTCATTTTTATAAGGAGATAACTTGAAAATGATTCTTTGGAACTCGGCCAGTTCACAGTGCTAATTTGACAGCATAAGTAGGTCATCCTAAATAGATGCAAATGTCTCCCTTTTCAGAGTGTTAATTTTAAACGTTTCAGTTAGTCCTTTTTCATGCCTGGATTAGGAAAGTATTTTAAACATTCTACAAGAATACCAAAACCATGCCTGCCTTTTCACTGACAGAATGAAAACTACCATTTGTGTATGTTACCTGCAACACAGAAAACAAAAGTTCCTATATTGCTTCTTACAATTACTCTGCTGAGTTCCTATATTGCTTCCTACAATTACTCTGCTAACTACCTTTGAAGAATGGCGCAAAATTCTGCTGCATTCAAGACACACGAGATGTACAGTACATCTAGAAGGATGTTATTCAGGAAAGGAAGAAGTCTGGACAGCATTCCAGGAAAAGAAACATTGAAGAAACTGAAAATAGGAGATATTTAGCCAGGAACAGAATGTAAAAGGGAGCATATAAAACAATCTAAAAATAATGGGATTTTTGTGGAGAAGAGTAGCTTTATTGTTTTGCTACAGTAGAAAGCAGAACTGGGGCAGATGGTTGTGATAATGGTGGATTTTGGCTCAGTACTAGAGTGAATGATGGTCTATCAGATATATAGTGCCTATTATGTGCCAGGTACTGTGCTAAATGCTTTACAAATACTATTTCGATACAAAAATTATCCCATTTGAGACAATATTTGAGGAGATCGGACCAGATGACTTCTAAGGTCTTTTCAAGCTGTTTCCACGATGGATCGTAAATTAACTGGGGGATATGTTTTATCGTGTTATATAACTGAAGGCTAACCAGAAAGCAGTTACAAAAATAAAATTCAGTTCTTGTGAAAAATCAGAAAGTAGCAGTCTACATTTCTACCTTAGTCATATACACTATTCTGAACAAAACTGAATGGTCACTTGAGGACTGAGGATGCTGAATGGTCTCACAGTCATCACTCTGAATAGAATGAATTCTTATCTTGTAGAATTGTAAAGGTGGAAGGACTGAGTGTATACTGACCCCATGGCATCCACACCCTCCAGTTTAATTTGGTTTTAAACATACATCCCTAAAATCCACTATTTTTTTTAAAGAATTCAGTTAACAACATTGAAGTTTACTTTTACTATGGCTGCAGGATCCTGTGTCTTTTCTTCATTTTGATGTCATGTTTTGTGTTTCCTAGGTCTGCAAAGTTTTTGTGTAATTTCTCCTCATCTTTCAGTTATTCTAGATGAATTAAGAAGCAGAAATTTCAAAAATAAATCAAAGAAGAAAAAGTGATCTAACTTTTGACTGTCAGTTCAAGTTTAGAGTATCATTATTTCTTATTTTCCACTGGGTAGCTCCCTTTTCAGCAACTGCTACTCCTCCTGCCTTACTGACTTACTTACTCCTGCCTTACTCTGCCTCCTTAATCCTGAGTAAGATTAGGATCGAGACAAAGAGGAGAAACACAAGTGTTGAGATAGAGATTAAAACTCAGACTTTACAGTGTGCCAATCTTTGACTTTGTTCTTATGATAATCTTAAATCACAGGAATTAGAGCTAGGAGGAAGCTTAAAAGGCAAACAAGTCCAACTCACTCATTTTAAAGAGAAGGGAAAGTGAGGCCCAGAGAACTTAAGTGATGTAACATAGTGACATGGGCAATGGAATTGAACCCAAGTCCACTGATTGCAAATTCATTTACAAATTGAGTTGTTTTTCTCTCTAAATACTCATGAATAGGAAACATTTTATTCAGCTTTATAAATGAAATGTGCACTTAACAAGACAACTTCAATGCATTATATGTTCTTAAAGGGGAGAGATCTTATGAGATATATGTTAAGTGCCTGGTGCTGTGTTATGTACTAAGTACACTCAATACTAACTGGCTAAAAAGGTAGTCTTAAGTTACCTACATTTCTTCCTAATTAATAAAGTTGTATCGATTTATGTTTAATAATAATGTTTTAATAATAAAAGTGGCCTTTATCCTCCTGAATATTTGATTGATAGACCCCTGATAGTCTCCAAAGCATGTGAGCTGTTTATTAAACTCACGTAGGAGTAGTTCTGTACTTTACAACCCTAGTAACTCATGCTTGGAAAATGTCTTCATGACAACAAATATTTCTGTTTTCTAATACTTGCTGAAAAGAGTACTCACATGATAAAGTTAAACTATTCCTCACCCTTTTTAGGTTAGAAAACAGACTTCAATGTGGATGTTGCTACTTGGGGCAGTAGGCTGCTCACCCGAGCAAAATCTGTAAGGAAAGATAGTATGAATACTGTGTTTCTTTGCCCACAAAGAGTTTTTGATCTAAAACTTTCCTTTAATATGGATGAAGAAATGCTATGCTTTCATTCCTTCTCTAATTGTTTGTTTTCTTACACAATGAAATTAACTTAATGCCTACCAGTTACAAAATGACCTATTTCAATGGATTATTGAATAGGTTAGAGTTTGCCAAATGAGTCAATTACTGACTTCATAAATGGGATCAGGCACTTAGAGAGCTGCATTAACTGTCATTCTGGAATGATAATGCAAGGAATAATAATCCTACTTGGCTAAATCAGGCTCTGCCCTTTCCAAGTCACCTGAGGAGTAGCTCTTTCACTTTCCAGGACCTAGAACTTCAGAGAACCAACACCGGAAAAGGCAAAGAGCGTTGGCCCAGAAGCTACAAGTCCAAACTGGGCCATTTAAAAGCCATGGGCTCCTTTTGCCGCTGCTGTTCAGTTTTTCTCTTGGGTTAAATAAGGGCAATACTATTTGGATCTCTGAAGGCAGTTAAAGGGATTAAACGAGATAATGGGGGTGAAAATACTTTCGAAAGTGATACATAAATAAAAGTTACAACAATTAAGGATGTCTAAGGTTTCTCCTTAAAAAAAAAAATCAAGAAATGATTAGGGAGAATACCTGTAATGTTAATTTGTCATTAGGCAACAAATTTACAATTTTCTCTGAGAGGACCTTTTCCCCCTAATCAATAAAAATTTATACAAAGTCTCTATAATCTTCCCTCCACCACTGAGAGCAAAGGATGGACATGAAAAATGGTATTTAAAAAACTCTGTATTCATTCAGTAATATTCACACCAAAGAATATATTCATTAAAATTATGAACATTTCTAAATATATTTTATGTATCATACATATATATATATACTTTATATGTATAATTACATATCCACAAAGATTTCTTGCTGCTTTAGGCCAGTAGGTAAAACAAAGATAGGTTCCCAACAGGACTCCCATATATGCATATATACTGGCAGTTTGGTTTATGAATTTATTTACAACTTGCCTAGATCATAATAAATGATTACTGTTCTATTATACAAACATAACAATAAAGGATTCTTTTAAATACAAAGACTGCAAATGAATACATGAAAAATTACACACCATGTACAATATTTATAATTTATAAATGCAAAGTTAAGACCTTTTTAAATTATTGCACTGTGCATATTTTTGTACAAAGATTTGTGTCATATGTAGAAAATCATTTTTAGTTCATTAAGTTATTAACTGTAGCAAAACTGGACATTGTTACCTTAAGGTTCTTTCTCCTTGACAGACTAGCCCAACAGACCTTCAGAAACAGATTGATCTACCACACCAAATAGTTTTTTATTTATTTCTCTATTTTGATGCTTCACACACCCAATTTGACATCCATGAACAGTTTTTGGTCAGCATGCAGACCACCACCAGCAGGTTGTGATCTACTTTGCTAGGCTGGGATAGAGACTCTAAATTCTGGCTGAGTATTCATTTGGACAGGGGTGGCAATTTTCTGTCTTCAGACAGAATGAATGTACTGTATCACTGCATATCATGGTAACTATATCACAGTGTTTTAGGCAAGGGCATTATTTTCAGTGAATGGGTCTGGTGAGCAAGTGAGGGTCTTGTGTAGAAATGGCTTCTATAGAACAAATTCTAGAATATTTTTACTTAATCTGGCTGAGTTACTCAGTAAAGGAGCTTACATATAGAACAGTCCATATACATAGGGAAAAATAAGCTTCAAATGTCTGATTGGATACGTGAATAGGATATTTAAACATTTCACAGCACTTTGTATCATGGCCTTAGGAAGAAATAAATGTTACAATGCCATATGTCATGATATAATTAACATGATGTTTTAGAACAGGCTTACTAGAGTATGTAAATAACACATATTTTAACATCTTAGCTTACAACTGGAACAAAACCCTTTCAATTAGGCTTCTGTAAATATACAATTTCATTATATCAGCTGAAAACTGACATGTAATGTCTTCTCTTCAAATTCCTCCAACATCTCTTCAAATTCAGCTTTTGTGTTTCCCTTTCAGCCGTTAGTTTCAGCAAACACAGTGTACCAGCTGAATTGAGTGTAATGTGCTCTTGGATACCAGTTTTCTACCACTTATGGGGGAAAAAGAATTTTCAAATTAAATACACATTGCAACGTTTCCTTTGTCATTGTGGTTTTAGAGGAGAAAAGAACATTAGAACTTGAATGAACATAATGTGGAAATTTAAAACAACCGACTGTTCAAACAGTATTTGTGGGAAAGCCAGTGTCTTTTGGTTCCACTCACCCAAAGGTTTACTTCCTTGATATACTTAATTCAGAATCATAAAAATTCATTTTCAAAAAAATTCATTTCAAAATTCATTTTTTTTATCATAGTGCAACAACTTTCAACACCTCTAGTACATTTAGTGATTCACATAACCTGGATATCAAGTAAGAATATGAAGGCTATCCTGCCTAGTATCCAACAATACTACTCTCAAATAATATGAGTTAAAAAGACATCGGTGGAAAAGTACTTTATAAATAAGAGCAATATTTGTGAGAATGTAAACATAACACAACCTCTTGCTATGACCAAACTTCTCAAAATCACAAGTGACAGCACATTCCAGCTAACTTGCATCTTACAATGATGTTAGGTCAGGCTAATAACTTGCAATATATGTCATATCTAGCCTGTGAATAAAGGAAAAGCATTAAAGTAGTCAGCAAACAGAAGGAAGCTTAAAGTGTCTACATTTGAAATACAAGATTTTCAGAACTTAATGTTTACGTGCGTACCTGAAACCCAACAAGATCACATCTTAATTAAAATCACAGTTCCTGGAAGTTTCTGTGTAATTTACTCAGTCTGAATAGCCTCCAGTCCACTGTTTACAATCATAGGTGATAACACAGGAATGTTTGAAGTTAAATAAAAGCCTGTTAAAAGAATCACCCTACTCATTAAATAACCATTTTTATCCCTTTAAAAAGCCTTTATTAGGGTTGAACACAGTTAATACAGCTGGGGAGTCCTCTTCCCCTTGCTTCCCCTCTTTGGGTGGGCTGTGGCAGCTTATGGGTGAGATGAGTGTTCAATGCTCTCTTCCCCCTGGTGAGATGGAACACCAGCAGGTCTTATACCACCTATTACTGTGTTACTACTCCCTAAGTTCCTGCATCTCTTACCATCTATGCCCTACAGACCCTGGGAAGTATCATCAGACCTACATATGTGGTCTAAGGAACCCTGGACCTAGACATCACCCCCACTGCTGTACCCATTGGACTTCCTGGCTTTTTTATCTCCCTACAGACTCAATCTTTTCTGTGCTGTTTTCTCCAATTAAAGTATAAGCTCCTAGAGAGACTATTTTTTTTCTATTTACATTCCCTAGCCAGCTAAGCACAGTGCTTGACAAATTTAATACTTCATAAATTTTCATTCATTCATATGAATATGTAAAGTTGTAGGGAACAGTTGTGAGTTATGCTTTTCTTTTTGGGGGGGGCATGGGGGGCAGTATGAATGAACAGTCTGGCCCTATTAGGACTCTTAATAACAAGTAAGATCACTTCAGAAAATATGCAAACCCAAATCTATACAGACCCTGCTGAAAAAGCTTTGTTTCAGCATGCTTTGTGTATGGTATGATTACTAAATATCAGTATTATGCACCAACATACTGAGGGTGCTTGAATGTGGCCAAAATAAAAAAACCATATTAGGACCTGGTTATTTCAAATTAAAAATATCCCAAAAAGTGCATGGCGTTTCAAGAAAAATCTGGCTTCTAGCTGTAATTTTTTGCAGCTCTGGCACCGCTTGTAGAAATAATTCATAGAAACTTTTTTTTTCTTTTCATTTGGAGTGGAAGACTAGTGGTGGGGGCTAGACAAGTAGGTAGAGATGAAGAAGAGAAGTGGGTGTGGATTTTCAAAGGTAAAGTCAAATTGCACTGGGCCCAGGGATCACAATCAATTGTTACTTTTGTTCGTTTGTTTTTTGTTTTGTTTTGCTGTTGATGAATAAGGCAGTTTAGCAATTGTTACTCAGAAAATGCTCCATTTTCTCTTAGAGCAAACATTTATTTAATTCAACCTGGTTTCTCTCTGAAAGGCTGATTGATAATATTTCTGTCTTTCAGTTTAGGGTTTCCTTTTGTTTGACTTTAATCTTTGAAGCTTGCATGGATATGCATTAATTTGTCCAAAAAATCTTCTGGTTTTTAAAAAAAATGTTTACAACACCTGGAAAGATAGTATCAAACACATTCTATGTGACAAGAAAACTGCTTGATTTGTACCTCATTGTAATCAATATAATTTTCTGCAACCTTCGAAACACTCCATATATCCACAGCTATGTCCTTAATTCATACTCCACAAGGGAAAATTGGCCAAATAGAAAGTATTCCTCTACAGAGAAGCACATCAAAACTTCTGGTAATAAAAGGCATCTGGCTGGCTACAGGCATTGCAATGCAATGCCCTTTAAGAGCCGAGAGAAAGATGGGAAACAGAGCTCAGCAAGCCTGCCTGTCAAGTACTGGGACAACTTCTGGCAAAGTGTAAAAATACCCCTGGACTTCATTTTTTCCAAAACAACATGTTAACCAAATATTACAGTATTTGCGTTATAAAAATTTTTTTTTGACAAACCTATGAGACCTTGGTAGTCTGGAATGCCCTAAAAGTAGTATTTCAAACTTCTAAAGTTTATCATTTGGTCTTTTGCCAAATTCTCTCTCTTGGAACAGTATTTGCAAAGAATCAGCTAACAAACAGCCAAATCTATATTTCATATAGCTACTGATGAGATTTTCAACCTAGGAAGTGTCCCTGCTACCTACAGCAAAGTGATTAAGACTATTTTCAGTACTGACTGTCAGAAAGAGAAACAGTCAAGTTTTTCTAAGATTGAGAGATACCAATCACTTGCGTCCTTCAGTAGCTTTTAATTCAAATACAATACTTTGATGAATTCTTTTTTGTTAATAATTCTTGATGACAAAAATCACTAAATTACTCCTGGAGGAGTAAAGGCCTTTTGCAGGACGCTGTTACAAAGCTTTCATATGTACATGATGCTCTTTATACTTAAGGCTTTTCTCAATTTTGATCCAATCCCTTTTTAGACTTTATAAATTTCCCATAAATTTTAAAACAGCTCTTCTCAAAGAATAAATTGGATTTTATCATCTTCTTAACACATCAATTTTGTTTCTTTAATCACAGTGATGCTCCTGTGTTTCCTTTGGTTTATGGGAAATAGATTCCACAGGTGAACTATAAATGGGAATTCTAGAGAGACTTGGAGACTGGAGAATTGGAAAGTGAAGTTCAGAAACCAACAAATGGGGAAGTGGCTTGGTAATATGGCAATGAGACTGATTTTCATGGGCAACCTGTGGACTCCATCTCATTACTTTCACAATAACCCTCTAAGTCTTCCTACAAAGTTATGTTTTTCCATTTTTAATATGCAAAGCTCCTCTACATATAAAAATGTGGGTGTAACTGATATTATAAAGATGGTATTTTAAAACTTATTAAATTAAAATAAATACTCTGATTTCTTTTCAAGTAAATGGTACTTACTTTAAGCAAGCCTGTCAGGTCTGGAAGCAGGCTGACCCTTTGTCAGTTTGTAGCATTGTGCTAAATGCTTTCTCAGCATCTTTAATAACTCAAGTGTCCCTCAGCACTCACTCTCAAAGTGTTTGGCTAACATTTCCTCAGTAAACTACTCAAAAATCACACAAAATCTGGTCCAAAGTGTTTTGGAGTTGTGCTTTCTTTTCTTAACTGGTACCATGAACAGTGATTTTCAATTCAACAAAAGACTATATAACAATATGCCACCAAAACCTATGGATCTTTCCACTTGAAGTTTGGTTACAAAACTGGTATGCAGTAATAAAGAAACAGGTGTCTGTGGCTCTTCTGTGTTGCTCCCACAAGTATATGTTGATAAAAATACATGGGCATTACTATTGTCTCACAAGAAAATTGCCAAATGGGCAAAGAAAGCTGTGGATCAAAAGTTCTGGTGATCAGTAAATCAGTAGGTGAATTAAAAAAAAAATGTCTGGCATTTGGAGACCATTTGCATGAGTATTTTTTGAGTTGGGAAATGTGTCTGAAAATGGACAACATTTGTGAAACCGGTTACAAAAAAGATTCTCTCACTATAAAAGAGAATACATTTGTGTTCAACAGGGCAAGCTGGTTGGAAATTATCCCCTTTCTTTCTTTTTCTGTTCAATACACCCACTAAATTTGAGTCTTCGGATGAGAAGGCCAGATGAATTTATTCTCTAGTACAACTTTAAAAAAAGGAAAAATAAATTATTTCTAGGCTTGCTATGAAGTAAATGAGACTTTGTTCAAGGTTCTACCCAAGTTTTGGTGTTTAGAAAAAATAAAGTGGATGATATCGAAAGTTAAGCTCTCCTAACCTGCAACTGCTGGCATGCAACAGTCAGCTGGAATCACTGATTAAAATGGGTTTCAGAGCTCTGAACCTGGAAACTGGTTTTCTCCCACTCCTGACTGCAGAAAGAAACTCCATGTACTAGAGCCTCAGTGGTTTTCTGCTAGAGGTCAAACTGATTATAAGTAGATCACACATAAACATTCACCATAGTAATGTGTAAAAATTCCTATTTATAACCAAGAACTTCCAAGCAACATCATTGTGAAAGCCTGCCAAAGAACAATACAATAAAAGTACCATTTTAAACCTTCTCTAGAAAGCAACAACTTAAAAAGTACCCCCGTGGTATAATTTTCTTCAGTTTTAAATTAAGGCTTCAGCAAAAGCCTATAAGAAAAGGCCACTTTGCAAGTCATATAGAGTTTACTAGGACAGCTGATCCCAAAACATGAATGAGTAGTCCAAGTTTCTCACTGTTTACAGTACATCACAGATGAGACTGGTAGGTAGTCACCCAGTTGAGATATCTCCTTGATGTTACCTTCCTTGAAACGATTGTCCCACTTAGCAGGTGTGGCTTTTTTTTTTCTGTTTCATGCTCCTTCCATAAAATAAAATAATATAAAAAAGAGAGGGATGAGGATGAAGCCTTCAGGCAAAAACTAATAATCATTGTTGATCAATCTTCAAAGGCAGTGAGCTAGAGGTCTCTGGAGTTCCTGTCTGGTTTGGAAGCCATATAAGACTTTCCTCTCCTCTAATTATTTTCTCCCATTGGCCAAGATTATCCCTAGAATGCAAAGAAAGTAAAAGTAGCATATGAATGTGAAAAAAGGTTTTCATGATTAGGTATTACAAATAGGTATTACCTATTACAATTTGGAGAGCTACCTATTTTACAAATAACATGTAGGTCAGTTATAAATTTCACTGCTACATTTTTTCTTCTTTGCTACAGAAAGTGGCATAGTATACTGAAAGGAGCGTCAGACCATTTTTTCCTGTCATTCTAGCTTTGACGATGTTGGAATTACAGAAATAAAGTCAGATAATCAAAGTTTGTGGAACTACTAAAAAACAGATTTAGATAGGAATTTGAAGATTTATCATTTTAAGATTACAGGGAAGAACTCCTAAGACTTTGGGTAAGTTTTAGGGTACCACTCTGTAGAATTGTTTTAAGGAAAAAAAAGAATTACATTTTATAAAAGTTTTGAAAGTGAATGGCAAGATTAATAGCATCATTGTTCTAGGGCAATGAAGGAAGGCAGCTAGTTTGGAAGTAATACCAGAGTGAAGAAAGAAAAAAAATTAGGTAAATAATTTGCACCTTATAGCAACCTCTTGTTAATAATAACCCTCTAACTATGAAAAGAGAAAAGACTGTTTAAACCAGGGATCCTCTGTGACTCCCCCAGGTTGCAGACCCTTTTCCTGTTAAGCCCTCTCATTCCCAGATCAGAGGCCCAAACACAGGTGTTGAAAAAAAAATGCTGGAAAAAGTAGAAAAACTTGAATTAACTTCTTCCCCTCCAGCTGTGCAGTTCATTGCCCAGGGCCCACCTGGTGTGGGCGGAGGCAGCAGCTGCAGCAGGGCCTTCCCATTGGCAGTGGCCCCAAGGGCCCTGTGCCCGAGTATCCTACAGCCCACCCCTCTAGGCAAGCCTGGGGGCATCACCCAGGTGCAGTACATCCTGCCCACCGGGCCCCAGCAGCACCTGACCCCAAAGCTGTAGCGGTTCGAATGTCAGGCCTCCCGGCCAGCATCTACTTTGCCTTGTCACCAGGAACTACCACCAGTGGGAAGGTCCTTAGACCAGCCATCCCAGCCCCTGGGATTCCCATTCTGCAGCCAGTGCCCTGTGCTGCACCCCACCAAAGCCCAGTCAGTATCTCCAGTGCAGGCCCAGCTCTTGGCAGACCCTGCCCTGCTGCTGCCTTGGCGGTGAGATGGGGTGGGGGTGGGGATGGGGGTGGGGGAGAGAGAAGACCTAGCCTCTGCCCTTGGTGAGTCCACCCTTCTCTGTTCTGGTTGCATAAATTTATTAACTGTGTAATCTTAGGCAAGTTATCTTATCTCTGTTTGCCCCAGTTTCTTAATGTGTAAAGAGAAAAATAATAATGGTATTTACCTCCCAGGATTGTTGTGAAGATCAAAATGATAATGATTGCAAAGTGCTTAACATAGTGACTGGCTATGCTCAGCACTACATTATTTTTTTTAACTGAATGTAATTGTTCCATACCTGAGAACTCTAAAGTGGTTTCAAAATGTCCAAGGAAATAAGATCAATGATCTTTATATGGGAGAATTTGGAAATGCAATTGATGGTGTCATCTAAAGTTTACTGTTTGTGTTACTGCATTTCTAAATTCTCTTATATTGTATTTCTAAATTTTCTTATATATAAATTCTCTTATATTGAGATACCATTGTAACAGAAACATTGCTAAACAAAGCAACATTTTAACCTGGATGCTGTTAACACATGAATTCAGCTTTTAAAAGGATATGATAAAAATATATATTTGAAAACTGCTAAATTCTTAATGAAGTATATTTTATTATGAAGCAGATAATAATGATATATAATAGCAAATTTGAAAATTTTGGCTATTATAAAGTGTATAGGGTGGTTTAAAGATGTAGTTTCAACATATCAATGATGAGTCAACCTCAGGTATTTGCTGTATATCTGAAGCCCCAGAATATGGGAAGTTTTAATTTATAAGTAAAGGATAAATGAAATATTAAAGAAACATCAAGAAAGATATTCAAGCCCTAAGTTGAGGTTAGTGAAATTTTGCTATTTAAGGTAAAAATTCCTGGGATTGTACTTTGCTATTGTTTTGAGCTTTGAGAATTGTCATGAAGCCAATAGTAGAAAATGCCATGTGCTACAGTCTGGGAACTGCTAAAGATGGATATCTGTCTGGGAAAAGTTTTGGGGATGACCTGGGCACAGCCTAGGTAGGATCCTCCTAACTCTCCTAACTCTATTTCCCTATTATGCTATTTCCTTGCAGAAAAGGAAATTTCCCCACCTGGTTAATCCTGAGCCTTGCTTTTAACACCTTATGACTACGTGATTGGCTGTCAGATTTGACTCATGCCTAGAATCAAACAGAGTTAAGGTAGTTTTTCCCTCTGTTATGAAATGATATTGTTATAACTATGTCCTCTTTTTCCTTTTATAGCAAATCTATATATAATCAAGAAATTTTGGAAGTAAAATACTAAATCTATTAAATAAAAGAATGATACTGGAACATCTCTGAGTTACTATAATAGGATGCAAGAATGAACATCTTAAAATTTTAACCTATATTTGTGGTCAAATTATAATATAGAGATGATATCCTCTTAAGGGGGAAATGATTAAACAAAGTAATAAGACAAAGGTGTAATGTGAAAGTTTTCTAAAATAAATGGAATAGTAAATGCTGAGAAAACAACAGGATTAGACTGTTTTCTCTAAGCACTACATACAAATGTATATGATAGGCTTCCAAAATTTTATCTGCTGTGGAAATTCAGGCTTTGAGCATCGTTTTGGTAATAAATTCTCAAATTGGATTAAGGATTTATTAATTAAGGATGAAGGAAGTTACGTCTAAATTATGTTGATAATTGTAAAGAAAGTGAAATTATTTTCCTGTTATAAAGTATCTGTCTGATAATTTTAAAAGGCAGAAGAGTTCATTTTACAGATGGACCCTCATAATTTTTTTTAAAAGATTTAAAGATTCTTATACCCAGGTATAGGATTTAAGTAAGGACAGAAATAGCAAGTGATGTATACACTGAAATTCTCTGGTTTCAAAACTGGAGAACAAAATTTAAATGACTGTACTAAATTTTATTAAGTCAGAATTATCTAGGAACCTCTATATTTGGAACCAGAGAAGCTGAGCTCCTTTTAGAGCTCTCCTGAGAATAGGCATATTGTCCAAGAAAAGATATCTAGGGAGCACATAACTACATGAAACATCTGGGACTCAAAATGTGCTCATTAAATGGACACTGAGAATGGGTCACTAAAATACAAACAGACTCGATGCCAGTTAATATTGGTGGTAACTATTGTATTGCTTTGGTCTTCTGTTTTAAGATGTTTATGTTTGTTTTCTTGGTTACTTTGGTGACATGTAAATCTCCCTTCTCAGAATTAAACCACTGTGAGCCCTGTAAGTGGCCTGATCTGTACCTGACAATGTAATTATGCAATGATAATCCATTTATAAAAAACTTTATTGCATTGTTTGAACCTAGTCCTGTGTGGCTGGAAAACTAGACTATCTCTATGTGTTGTTTAGAGACTCTTAACTAAGGACTTATGTTATGCAACCAGAAACTCAGATCCAAAGACTGAGGCAAGGAGTTTTCTCACAGTTGTACATCTCAGGCAACTGATATGTGTATCTGAAAGCTGGCAATCAATTATTGTTTCTAAGGGCCCCTACCAGGTCCTCCTGACTGCTCCCACAGCTGTTAAACTTGTGGGGTTGGACTTCTGGATCATCTGAAGAAAGATCCTGCTCCTGAATGAATGGCAGAACCCTCTAGGGACCTCAAGGTTCATCTAGTATGGACCCAGAAACAGCCAACATCCGTATGAGACAGTTATCTCAAAATTCCGGACAAGGACTGAGTATACTGTCCTACTTTTTTTTCCCTCTTCTCTTTTGTTATGTGCCCAATCACCAAGGCCCTGATTCAAATGTATGTTGTCATTTCCTCCCCCTACATTCTTGGCTGCAACCTCCCACCCCCTTTTCTGCTTGCTAACAGTGGCTAGCAATGACACCTGGGACACACTTCCCCAATAGGTCCCTTCAAGGAACTAACCTCCCAGGCAACATCTCACCCTGGCCCAACTGGCCTTTTGTGGCATCTTGGCTTTTACCTGCTTCTCCTTTCAGATCTTTCAGATCCCCTCCCTTTGGCAAAAAGGTGGAAATGTCAAGATATTAGAAGATAACCCTGTTTCCCAGAGCTAAGGGCCAGCAAGTTTGGCATAACAACAATCCTTTGAGCTTTCCCTCTGGATAATCTCAGTGATAGCAAAATCCCAGAATTGTTTCTGGTCATGAAGCCCTGCTATGAATCAAACTTGTCACACTGTTGCTATTATCCCTCACTGTCAGGGCTAAAGCTCACTGCATAGCCATGGGTATAAGTATTGAGATCTCTCCACACTAAAGTGGGCCCTGCCCCCAGTAGGGGCTGGGCTCCAGTACGTGTCCTTGCTTGCAAGCCCATTTTCTTCACTTTTAAATTAAACTTCTGTTTGATTCCTGACTCTCCTGTCTCTAGCCTGCTTTGTTCAGCTCTGGCCACCCACAGGTTACAGGCTGGTTCAGTCCGGTTGACAGGCGGTTGGACTATATAATCTTAAGGACTCCTCCAGCTCTAAATTTATGATCCTATGATTTCCGTGGGTTCCTTCTGGCATTTTTAACATAGATGTCTACTACAAGAGAAGAGTAAAATAGTCCATCACATATCTATCTTACCTTTCAGGGTATCACAAAAATCCCCAGGAAAAGGCCTGAGCTCCTTCAAAACTGCAAAATATGCTTATTCCAACAGCAAGAGAGAAGTCTGGGGTTTCACAGAGATACTCCAGAGTTAGTAACCTCTTGAATACTCTCTCCTCTAAGAATTTTTGCAAGATTGCACTCTCCTGGTTCTCCTCTTACCTGTACGATAATTCCTTCTTAGTCTCCTGTGCTAAAACATCATCCATATTTCGAGATCTACATGTGAGAACCCATCTCCACCTATAT